TACGGATGGCAACGACTTTGTATAATGCTATGCAATCTTAACAGAAAGACATGAAAATGTACAGCCCCATCTAAGGACCTGTTTGTCTGGAGGAATCAGCTTTGCTACTTGAGGATTGGCCTGCTAAACCCAGGGTTGTAAGTTCAATCCTTGAGGGGGCCATTTAGGGAGCTGGGGCAAAAATCTGTCTGGGGATTGGTCCTGCTTTGAGCAGGGGGTTGGACTAGATGACCTCCTGAGGTCCCTTCTAACTCTGATATTCTATGATCCTGCCATGTTCTATGACCGTACTTATTCATTGCAGTGGGTAAAATGTGTACAGTAATTCTTTTTTCCCTTAAAGCTTCTCACACACCCCCACAGTACATTCCATGTCCCCCCTAAGGGGGACCCACACCCTAGTTTGAGAACCTCTGCCCTCGTAGATAAGTATCTGCCTCACTACAAAAACTTTATTTTTTTACAACCACAAGCATCAACTTTATTTGGCAGCCTCAACCGAGCTGCCGTGGAACGAACACCCTTGGAGACAGGACTACCTTTCTCCTGGATGAGGGCTGAGCCATGTTGGAAGGGCAGTGCGATGGCAGCTTCCAAGCCCATTCCCTATACAGTACGTTCTATGGATTTAATAGAGAACTTTATTTTCTAGCGCTCTCAGTCCAGGGTCTTTCACCAGCATCAAGTTCACTTCAAATAAACCAAAATGTGGCCACTTTTCAAAATACGCTATAGGACACAATGTGACATGGGCTATCTACATTTGAAAGGACTGATGAGAGCGCAGCTTTGGATAAGGCCTTTTATTCAGTGAATTACTGGTTGCTGTATTCCATGTCCATATTACTATGGTAATTGAATTATTTGCTGTTGACAGCATGGTATATTACCCAAGGCTTTTGCCATTTTCCATGATGTTGTTCCTAGCAAAGAGCACTATTTGTCAATTGTAAATTTTATAATATGACATACACTAGTTATGTATACGACGGTTGTGGTGTATGTGGTTTGAAAGCATGAAGCTGAGTGGAAGGAACATTATCTGTTGCCTGTAATGTTTCATACTGTATCTTTGTTTGTTTGTTTTTACACTCCAGCCCTATAAGAAGTGAGTAGAGTGAGTGGGGAAAGAAACTTTGGCTGGGCTGAGAAACACTTTCAAGCTGAGCTCTTGGTGAGGTGGACAATCTGGTCCTGAGAGGCACTAAGCCTGTATGCAGCACGCACACACACACTTCCCATTGATTTGGTCATCAGTCCTTTGGTGGGAATAAATATCCCATTTCTCCGATGTCAGTGGGCGTTCACCTCCACAATTACACTGTGTAGGAAGGGGCTTAAGATGGAGGCTGTGGTGAGTAGGTAGCATTACAATAGTAGTCTTTTACTCACTCTGTCAGTGTGGGAGATTATCCTCCTTGCTTTCCTGTTCCCGAGAATAAATGTTGCAGTCTAGATAAATATCCGTGTCTGTATTATCTCTGTCCTAGGTACATAGGTACTGACTTTTATTTTTCCCTGGGGGTGCGCCACGCCCACTCCACCCCAAGGCCCCACCCTGCCATCACTCCGTCTCTTCCCACCCCTACTCCGCCCCCTCCCCAATGTCCCTGCCCGCCCACTGCTCTCCGCCCTCCCCCAAACCCCTCCCCCAGCAGGCGAATAGCTGATCGGCGGGGCCCCACCAAACAGCTGTGACTGGTGGATTCTAGGTTTTGATAGTCCTTTGCCCTGATTCTGATCTAACACTGGTTTTACATTGACTTAAATAAAGCTATTCCTGAATAAGTAAGGGAAGGAAGAATCAGGTCCCTTACTGTGTGTGTGTGTGTGTGTGTGTGTGTGTGTGTGTGTGTGTGTGTGTGTGTGTGTGTGTGTGTGTGTGTGTGTGTGTGTGTGTGTGTGTGTGTGTGTGTGTGTGTGTGTGTGTAATATACCTTCAGGTTGGTTGCATGCAGTGAAACTAACCTGTGACTGTAACACTGGGGGACTCCAATTCCTGAAAAGCCATTGTCCATGAGGCAAAGCTGTTCCCACCAAAAATGCATGAAAAAATATTAGATATTGTTTCACTTCCGTGTTCATTGAATGCATCCATGTTTTCTCTTGTGGCATCAGAATACATCACTGTCTTCTTGCTACTTTTTCCCTTTGAGCAGTGCTTCACTGTATTTATTGTGCTTCGTTACCTGACAGCTGCAGGCTGGTGCAGAGTCGAGTGTGACAATAAGATCAATTAAATCCTAATGAAAGGAGAAAGAGGCTGTGTGATTGTAAACCGTATGGGATTGTCTGAAGGTGCAGCTTAGGTAAATAATGTCCACTGCACTCAGTGTTAATCCTCTATGTTTGTTTACCTAGCGAAGTGGCTGTCCCAGTTCTGTGGCTTCAATTTTTAGCTGTCTGAAATATAGATGTGCAGACTCTAACACGAGGCTGCCTGCAGCATGGCATTCAGGGTGGACTTAATTAGGCAGGAGGTTCAGCTTTCTGAAGTTTATTGTGCATCTCCGATTGAACAAACATTTTTTAAAAATCGTTCTGCTCCTAATTAGTAACAATCTCCCAGTAATCCCAGCTAAAAAGAGGGGGAAAGAAGTGTAACATACAAGCAAAATTATCAGTGTGATACTAGTCCCATCTTAATAGTTACTTCTTTGTTTGAATCGTTGTTTGATCTTAATGTTTTTTAAATCAACCACACTCACTGCGATTCCTCTACAATTCAGCCCCTCTCCTATTGCTCCCACACTAATTCCCACTTTCAGTTCTGGCTAACAAAGCACCATGCCTGCACGGCCACTATCCTCTCCTCATTTAAATTCCTCCTGAAGACGCACTTCTTCTATAACACCCACAAAAAGCTCGTTATGTCATTTACAGACCTATTTCATGTCTCTGTGTCATGAAAGAACTGCTCATCTGCATTGGGAGAGGAGCTTGAGTGGTGAGAGGGGACAGCATAAAGACATGGGATCCAAAATAAGGTGGGGGTTTTTTAAACCTGAGGGTTAACTATGACCAGTTACGCTTCTAAACACTTGCCCTTTTCCACACTAAGGGCAAAATTGTAATCACATCACGTTAGCTAAAACATAGTTACACGTTCTCTAATGCGATACATTTTCCAGGCCTCAGGATCAGGGCCAGAATTACATCATTTTTAAAGAGCCTTTCAGCCAAGGGTCTCAAAAACACGTTGTATACAGTTATTATCGAAGCTGCAAAATGTGAGATTGCAGAAACCCCCATCTACTTCCCCTGCTGGACAGAAACCTCTCCTGACCCTGTCCCTTCAGTGCATCCCTGTCAGGTCCTCACACCCCTCTCCCGCTAACCTCGGACACGCCCCACAGTTTGAAAACCTCTGTCATACAGTATATTTCTGATTTCTGTCTTAGCCCCTCCCCCCCATCTCCCTCTTCTCCTCTTTTTCCTTTTCTTCTCCTCTTCACAACTGTCAGAACTTCTGAAACTGGGGGGAAGCTCAAGTGTCTTCCTCTTCTACTTTCTGATATCTTTGAGCTTAATTTAAGCTGTTAAGTGATATGTATAATAGTACTGTCAGTTCCATTGTTGCAATTCCTTTCCAACAGTGTAATCGTAAACTGCTGTTTGGTCTCTCTGGATTGCTGGTGACATGCCCAACTACCAAGCACACATGGTATACTGCTGTGGAAGTATGTTGTGTGCTACATGATCTCAGGACAATATGCGCTACTGATGCTTATTAAGGTGTAGGTAGCTACATAAATGAAAGGAGACGTCATTCTGTTTTCTATGTACTGCACCTTCAAATACAAAGGAATGTTCACAGAAGCAGCTGTGAAGCAGTTGCCATTTTATTTTTCATTTGAGATACAGAATGTAAGGGTTCACTAGGCACACTTCTTTCTCTGTCCCACTATCTCATGTGGAGACTTTACATTCGTTCTTTCTTTGTTTTCTGTGATCTGAAATAAAAATAATCTGGACTGAAAAAGACATGTTTTGCTCTTTGTGTTTGGAAAAACACTAGCATCCCTTCTAGTTGGAGCTGCTAGTGGTTGCTACAACTGAGCTGAATCAACATGGAGTAGAGATTTGTGAAACATCTCACCCTGACTAATGGTGTTACTTGCTAGCACTGTAAGATTGCCAGTTGTTCTCCTGCTTCTGAAACCGCAAGACACATTAGACTGAGATATAGTGAGAGAAACCCCTTGTTTTCCTAGGTGTCGGTGTTAATCCTTACACTGTCGTGTTCTGTTGTCTTCACTTTCCATTGGAATGTCAGCACAGTGACGTACACAGGGCATGTGTCAAGCTGACATATTTTATTCAGCAGTCAAGTACATAAGGACATAAGAATGGCCAAACTGGGTCAAACCAAATGTCCATCTAGCCCATTATCCTGTCTTCCAACAGTGGCCAATGCCAGATGTCCCAGAGGGAATAAACAGAACAGGTAATCATGGGGACACCATTCCTGCTCATCCTGGCTAATAGCCATTGATGGACCTATCCTCAATGAATTTATCTAGTTTTTTTTTTTAACCCTGTTATAGTCTTGGCCTTCACAACATCCTCTGGCAAGGAGTTCCATAAGTTGACTGTGAGTTGTGTGAAGAAATACTTCCTTTTGTTTGTTTTAAACCTGCTGCCTATTAATTGCATTTGGTGACCCCTAGTTCTTGTGTTACAAGAAGGAGTAAATAACACTTCCTTAGTTTCTCCAGAACACTTTTCAACATGGCGGAATGGCAGTAGGTGAAAAGTTAGGTGATGATCCATCAGAGAAACAAGTGAGATTATGAAATGGATTTTACTTAAATCCTCTGTGTAGATTTAAATTACATTCAGTTTTGGCTGTCTGGATTGTGTATTTTAGCATTATATTGATAATTTAAACAATAAAAATAAAATAAGATGACAAGACAAAAACACTGGGATGGGGAAGTGTGCTGTGGTGTGTGTGTGTGTATGAATGTGTATTAGCCCTCTTTTTGTTTATTTTCCAGGACAAAGAAGGTCAGCCATTGCTATCGTATCACTTACCGGCACTTGGAGAGGACTCTGACTCAGCTCGAGGTGAACCGCCTTCATCGAGCCATAGAGGAATCGGCGGTACAAGAACTGGGAGTGGAGGGTAGATTCTAAAATCCTTGCGTTGCCTGTCACAATCACTGTGGATGTTTTTTTTTTGTAAAGAAAGAAAGGAATTTTGTGGCGAAGCGTAGAGTTTGGAAGCCTTTTGATAAATGGGCAGTGGTAGAACTTTCAGATCATAAAGATTACCACTGAGAAATTGTTGACAAAGCATTTGTCCTTTATTTTAAGAAAGGGAAGGGGGAGCAGTAATGTAAGATTTCCCTCCTGTTACATTAAGAAATACTCTGCCTGGTGGTTTTCTGTGTTGTTAATTGGTCCCTGGGTTCCATTATAGTGTAAACACTTGGCATTATTTCTGTGTTGACAGGGTTTTCCGTCCACGTCATGAGTGAAGCAAAACAGAGGTACATTTTAGCGCTAAATAGAAAAACTGTTCATTCTTTCTTTTCTCCCCCTTCTTATAAAAAGGGCACATTCTGCGTCAAGAAAAACTTTCATGAAATATACCTGCAAAGTTTGGATCTTGACCCAAGTTGATTGCTCTTGGATTTTGGTTTGGCCTATTCTAAAGGAAGGGATAGATGTGGAGTGTGACTCTGGGTGCAAATCAGAACTTTCCCAGAGTGCTGGGTGTTTGGATGTGGCCTCTGGTGTGGGCCCAGCTGTACTCAGACCAAGCCAAAGAGAGCATCTCCTCTTGACACTTCTAGCTGCATGTGTTTCACATGCAAAGTGTCTGCTTCAAATCAGTGTTCCTAGCATGTGTACTATGGCAAAAATTTTCATCGCCCGCATCATCAGCCAAAGATTGATATCGCTTGGAGGTGGAAGAGGGAAGTACTTGTTATTACAAGGCCCTGAAAAGCAGAAATATGCAGGTACTTGAACTCCCATAATGTTGTGCTTCCTAACAGAAGTCATCTACTGAAAGACATGACCCTGGAGGGAGAAAGCGGGTCTTTGATGGAACCCCTTTCTAGTTCAGTCACTTTATTGGATGCTTACTTCTTTCATGACAGGTTATAATAAGCAAATTTTGGCAGTGGAATGACACTGGAGGCTTGTGGAAATTTTCAAATGGTCTGATAAATACTTGATGAAGCACTCAGATGCAGAGACAGTAGTGCGAGCGCATGTTCTTGCCTGTAAAGATATTTAATATGATCTTTCAGGTAACTTACAAATTTGTTGGCTCTGCAAGGAACATTGCTTTCTCCAGGGAAGGGAGCAGTAAAAGCCATGCACTAAGAACCATCCAGCATTGCTTTATACCCCATCACGAGACTAATGTGCAATAAACATGTACTCAACCAGAAGAAGCCAGCAACTAGCACAGATGGAACATGAACTGAGAGCTCATTGTAATTTCATTATTCAACAGACTTCACTGTATAAACAAATTTTAATCTAAATCATTGTTGCACTAACTAAATAACTTGATTATAAAGATAGTATGCTAGATTTTTTCTACAAGGCAGAGTAGGAGCCATTTACACACCAGAAGAACCTACTTGGTGATCTTTAAACAAAAATCTTTTTAAAGAGCAGGTGTCCTTAATTGTCTTCCATTTCATTTGATTCCCTCCTATTTTTAATCTCCGCCCCTTTTAGAATTCTCATTAGGGACTACTACAATGAAAGGGCTTTTTCAAAAATTGCACCAGAGCGGTGATTATTCCTTGGCGCAGCCAAGTTCAGGCAATGCTGCCACCTGGGGACCCCAAATCTTACATGATGAAAGGGTGGTGTGATGTTCAGCGATCACATTACACGAGGAGGAGAGTACAAGCTGCTTCCTGCTGTGTGAGAGCACTGAGGTAGTACCTAGAGACTTTTGGAGAAAGATGACATCTCCTTTCTTATTATGACCCTGGCTGGGGCACATTGCAAGATTCTCTCTACCATTCAATAGGGAAACCTCCATCTACTGCTTCCCAAACCCCTTTACTCTGCCTCCTCCCTCCCCTTCCCCCCATGCACACAATTTCTTAGGGCAAGATTGATTTTCCCATGGGATTGATCCATCAATATGTGTGGCATAGAAGTTTAAGAAAGGTAGTGGGGAGAAAATTGGACAGTGAACCTTGGGTCTCATGCCAGAGACGTGAATTTTCACTTCACTATTGGTCTGGTTTCTTCATTTAAAAAATGTCTGATACCACTGTCTTGAATTTTTTTTCCTTAATAAAAGAGTATCTCGTAAAAGCTGCATTGTTTTGGACCCTTACTGTAAAATACTGCAGTAATATTTCATGAGGGATGAGGGAAACTCAGAGAACCTTCCAATGGGAAGACAAAGTTCTTAATGCTAAGTGTGACGGGTTGGATCACAGAAA